TGGAAAAAGTAATGTCTAACCTACGGATATTCAGGGTCAAAGGTGGAAGAAATCCAATTAGATATGCTGTATTCAGATCGCACGGCAATGATCTTGATTTATCTCAATAAGTGGTATGAAAGATAAAGTTTTCTACGTTGATTGGTTTCCAAGAGAACTTTTCCTCAAACTTCGCAGAGCTTTTGAAGCGCATCCCTGGCCTGTGTTTCGACTTTCATTGACCAACCCATATTTTTAATTAGTGCACTATTTTCCAAAATAAGACTGGTGTCAATTTGCCCACCATATAGGAATGGTAGGCAAGTAAACCCAGAGTTTGGGACCAATTGGGTGATCCTACATGAATTGCAAGGTGATTTTAACAACTGCTCTTCTCACTTTTTTTTTCGTCTGAATATTGGTGGGAAAAATGAGAAAAATGATACTGAGACCTCATTTCTCCGAGAGTAATTTTCATTGCTTATGTGTAATAGCAAGGAGCACTTGAACCTGATCAGATGTAAATTTGTTTATGCGTCGCTGTTTTTTATCACCATCATAGGTTTTTCAAGAGCGATAATTTCCTCGGAAACGGAAAATATTAGAAATTTGGAGATGAAATTGCAGTGCGCGGATTGATGATCTAGATTCTTTGAAACTGCTTCTAGTGCGACTTCTTTTCAGTTTATTCATTTAAGGCTTATTTTTTCATTTTCTGCCAATGAACCGAAGTTAATATCTATAACTTCTTATCGTTTCTAATCGAATAATTATGTTTTCTTAGAATTTTGATATTAGGTTGAAAGTGTTCTCAATGACCAAGATTCGAAGTTTGGTACTCACATCTAAGCTGCGGCTTCAGCTTAATTATGTTTGATACCGAATTGTGCTCCTCCGATGATTATTGTTAGTGCGTTGCTGGCGATAACACTAACAGGACAAAAACTTGAGTGAGAAAGAGGGAAATCAAATTGGTGGTGTAGGTGGACAACACGTGAGCACCAAAATGAGTTATCGTGGGTTTGAGACCCACCTGAGATGAGCTTTACCCGTATCTCAGCATTCTCATGATTATAACTCATATTATGCCTTGCCATAAAAGTGAACAAGCGGTAGCCTCAAGTTAGAAAATTACGATATTGCCTTTAGTTTACCGATAGGCTCTGTCACTTGCCACATGCAGTCCCGTCGAATTGGTAGAAGGCTGAGCCGAACTGCTCAGTAGGCTCCGTTAGGTCAGAGGGTTTTGAAGAACTTCGTCGTTTTTGTATAATCCTTTTTCTGATAACATATCTCAAACCTTTCAAGGGTGTGTTACGGTGTCTCTATTGTTAGACGTACGTTTTGGTTTATTATCGCGAATATCATCAGTAGCACATACCAATCGGTTCATTCGTTCTTCCACGAGCTATTGCTATACGCGTTTTTACCAGTCGAAGACAACAGTGAGGTTTGTGAGAATAAGCCGATGCCATACCAGACCTCTTAAAGGCTGAAAGCTTGCCAACAGCTTATATTGTTCTGAGCGGGGTTTTAAAAGCAGCCGAATAAAAGGTAATTCTTTTTCTTTTACTTAAGCGAAAAAACACCACTGCTCGTTTCTCTAACGTTTTTCAGCATGGCTTCACTCCTACCTAAACTTCTTTCTTAATTCTAATAGTCATGCTGATGCATAATATTTGCTGCTCCTCGTCCCAGTTCGACATCCAGAAGGATTCGCGACCGAATATACTGCGATGATAACGCATTCAGAGGGCACAAAGTTCCTATTTCCCTACGCAATCATTACAGCTGCCCCGGAATATTTCAAACCTCTTTCGATGCTCTAAATTAGCTTATTTCTTTTGCTTTTGAACTTTCATCTCAAACAACGAAGTCTCTTTGTGATACTTTGGATTTTCCTACATGAAAAGTCTGGAGATAGTAAATTATGAAGCGATAGGGCGACCATTTACAAGCTGAAGGATTAAGTAGCAGTACGCATGCTCATATTCGTTCCATAAGGCACATGTGGATTCAGTGTGACGACCTGTTAGCCTTTCTCTCGACTGACTTATAGAATACATTCCACATGCATGTAAAATGTTCAAGCGTAATAACTATGATTCATCGTTATGTTTGTTTGTAGGAGGAATATATCGTGTAAGTGAATTTGCTCAGAATCTGTCGACAAAGTGGCAGAGGAGTACAAAGAAGCGGCTTGAAATCGGCTCCAGTGGATAAGTCGAATATCTGTACTGTAGAGGAGATCACATCAAACCAATACTAACCCTTGCAGACGGCAGTGTTAGCAATATCGCACTCGGCATGGGATTTTCGTTCTCCAATATAATTTTTTTTTTTTTGGAAGAAAACTTCAGGTGTCGTGTTTTATCCTGACACTCCATAATTTTCTCTACACCATTATGCACTTTTTGTGCACGTATAGCTCTTGTGTGGGAAGAAAACATTGAATGTAAAATATAATTCTATTTTCGCCCGTACAACGCACTAAGACATTCTTAGGACCAAATTTAGCTTTGAAATTGCCGAGATTTGTCTATTAAGTAAGTTATAGTTTGGTAATGAAATTCCGTCCACAGACTTTACCGGTGCAGACAAAGCACTACGAGTGTATGACATAACTTTTTTGCTATTACAGCGCAATAAAAAGGTTTTTTGATACTGTTTATTATGGCGGCGCCACTTGAGGCCTTTAGAAAAAACGTATTTTTTGCTCTCGCAAAAGGTTTCTGTAATTTGTCGATAGTTCAGATCAAGTGAATTTCAATGGCATGTTTGATTTCTCAAATAGCTTTTTTTTGGCGCCGTAGCAGTCACAATGAGATCTTGCTTCTCATTCGAAGATTTTTCACTGGATAAGAGTTTTTGCTGCGATGAGCTTTAATCGTTAGATAGAGAACATCTTTCCGATTATAATGGTATATTTGACTTGCGGAAAGGACTCTTGTTACACATTCAGTAAGCACTTCTAGTCAGCTAGGGTGTGTGTACAGCTGTAATATCAATGAGCAAACGTATTTTCTCAATCAGAAAGATTTGTTCTATCTAATGATTGAAGTTTTGTTATAGAACAACTTTTATCAGGCAGAAACTTTCAAATGTGAAACAAAATCTCGTCCTGACTGATACGGCATAAAAATCAAGCAATATGAGAAATAAGATATACCTTTAAGATTCACTTGATTGAAGCTATCAGATAATTATACATTTGTCAGATAACAGCAAAAATTACGCTTTTAGCGAAGGCCTCAAGTGGCGCCGCCATAATGGAACGGTACCTCTCGGGTTTCTTCAAATATGAAACAAAATCTCATTTTGACTGGTACGGCTAATCATTATGGAATTTACTTAAGATTCCAAAAAATCCGAGTAATGAAGGCGAAGGTTAGCTTTTAATAATTTTGTCGGCGGCAGAGACGCCCAACAATGCCGGCCACGCTTGCATCTCAGTTCAAGAAGTCAGTTCTCCCATTCGTTATTTTTTTTTTGATTGTCAAAGTTCGAAATTGAAATAATTTTAGCTTTCCTAGAAATTTCCCAAATTTCAAGTTTTCGCTTACACGACTATGCGTTCCACGTGAATTTATGGTGAAAATCTTCTAGATATTGTTTTTGCTGAAAAAAAGTGTTTTTTTTGACACTTTCTTCAACAGTTTCTTCTTACGATTTAACTACACTTCAACTATTATTCTGGGTCTTGTTTTTATCTCTTCATCATTGTAAAGTGGACATAATCTGAATTGGAAGATTAATTCGACATGGAACTTGAATAAAGTCATTACTGAAACTGTTTATCTGTAAACTTAGTCAAAAACACGATGGATGCTGTTATCAAAACATTATCTAATAGTGTATTAGTTAGACGTTATAGAATATAGAAAAGTATCACGAACGTAGTGTTCCCAGATAGCAGTTTTTGAGCGCCATATATGCAAAGATCGCTGGTGATGGCATTAGTCAAAAACTTTTACTAGAATGGATATTTTCAGGGCTTGTGTTTGAAACTTTTCCTTTCATGTTGATAGCGCAATGATTGAAAGATTGCTTTTTTGCCCATAGCAGTTGATTCGGTTTTGTGACACTGGCTCACCAGCTAACCTACTTATTCTTCCAAAGTCATCAAATTTATCCCGTATTATGTAGGATAAAAATTACTGACGTTACATTAGCGGGCCCTCACAAATCGTTGTATGGGCCAGATATGCATTCAATCACCTCTATCTGCGTTGCCTGATGTAATCGAATGCATAATGTGTCCTTAATAGATTGGTCAAGACAAATGATTTCTGTTTCAAATACTAAAGAAAAACTCCTGGCGTTAATTGATCCCTGAGGAATACAATGTGCATTCATCTCCATCAAACATCATAAAAGGTGATTGAATGGATTTCTGGCCCTTACCATGACTCACAGTGGCCTTCGGGTGTATCAGGTTACTGCTACTATCCTCCCAGACCAGTTTGATATTAATCCGTCGATCAAAGAGGGATGGGAAGGCTGATGAGTCTTGGATGCGATATTCACTCAGATAATCAGAATACGTGTGCTCCGCACAACACCGCTAACCACTGCGCCACATGTCCTCCGCTTTGGACATTATATCTGCTCATTTATTTGTTTATTCAAGCATACAATCAAGTGATGGTTCTTCTGGGAAATCTGCCAACGTGTCCCCATCGTCAATCACTTCGCTTATGGATGACATTCTGCTGTTTGTGGCCTTGTGGCAGAACAATTCATAATGCGTCAGATGTTATTATTACATAAATGTTTGAGCACATCACTCACACCACCATGTCTTGGCTTGATTCTTTCCACGTTATTCGTTCCTTCTTTTTCAATCGCTTTTCTTTATAAACTGAGAAAGGAGGAAAAACAGCGGTTAATCAGTGAATGAGCTATTGTGATTTACATTGTTCTCTACAACTATTTATGGTTCAGATGTCATTCTAATTGACCGCCTCTCGCGAGTGGATCTTATAATATACCCAATAATGTAGAGTGGTGTGCAAAGACATTTCGTCAGCTGAGATTTGAACCCAGATCTCACTCTTTCCGAGAGGGCGTGCTGAACCGTTTGCACTAATGACGACCGATTTGACACCACTCTTTCTACGCTACAACACGTTATCTGTCGACAACCAACCAACGGTCTGGCGTGGGCAGCCACTATCGATATTGAAGCCACTTAAGCTCACTGATATTGAGTTTCAATAATCAATCAGAAGCCATTTCATTTTCCCGCTTCTTTCGGTGGGATGATGTCGCTCTCGAAAAGAGTGAGATCTAGGTTCGAATCCCAGCTGACAAATGTTTTTGCACACCACTCTACATTATTGGGCTTATTTATGTTTCGTTTCAATATATGGTAGCTTGTAAAGTGAAACTGTAGCATTTTATCATCAGCTTGTAGTCCTCTATGATTTACACCATTCACCAATGTTTTACATCAACAAACTAACCGTTTATCAAGAGTTTTTATTTCAAGAGTACCTTTATCAACACAATCGACCAGCACAATTGTTTAGATGTTGAATAAGGTTTTCCACGAATACGATTCGAATATGGTACTTGAGGTTCGCTCAACAATTGATGGCATCGGTTGTGATCATCAACCCCGAAGTTGTCCTAAGCATAGTCTCGTCTTAGAACAACATTCCACCAACAGTATTTTGATCACATTAAACATTAACGCCTTCGACTATTCTCTACAATGGCGCGGAGCGTCATCCAAGTATTGTCAATGGCATCCTATATACTGAACAACTATTTCAAGCTAAATAAGTGGCGTGGCTCTAGCCAAACATTTTTGGTGAGCCCTGTCTTCATGGCTTCACTCAGCACAAAGATGTCATCGTAATCTAAGTGAGACTTCTCATGTTTGGAAAGCAATACTTGCAATGCAATGATGAGAAATCGAATCATTGCTGCGCGTTTTCTTTTCCTCTTAACGTCCTTGCGGCACAGCTCTGAGTAATTTCTACATGTCGGACGGCAAAAATGAACATTTTATTGGACTCAACTAAATAGCTCTGGAAAATATGAACGTGCGTGCGTAGGTATCATTTTTGCCTTTACATCGTTCACCCTCGTTATCCTGTCATCAAAGTTTTTTTTTTTACACAATGTCCCAGCTCAACTCATTGATTTATCTCTGTCAGCGGATTGTTTTCTGATTTTTTTCCAACAAAAATAACATTTTCGTATATTAAAGGTACTGGTCGTGGAATCTGTTGGACTGGCTAGTTTGTCGTTAGTAGAATGACTCACTGACTCCTTTCTGATAAAATCGTATTCTTTATGTTTGACCGCTTTGTAGCGGTGGTATGATTTTTCAAATATACCAGTGATGTAGAGTGATGTGCAAAACTTTCGCGTCAGGCGGGAATTGAACCCACATCTTACTCTATTAGGGTGCGCGTGCTCTAACCCGTTGACGCCCCTTTTTGCACAACACTTTTTCTACACTATATTTGATTCCTCTGTTAGTGTTGCTGGCACTGCTCGTAAACAACAACCCTATAATTTAATAATTAGAAAGCTCGGTCACTTATCAGACCATTGAGAACTTCTACATTTTGATGCATACTCTCTCAGGCTCACATTTCATAAGACAAGCAAAATATATATCCATCGCCTCAACGAATTCATAATTGAAGCTTTAGTCCAATAATTTAATACTGATCAACGTCATGAACTTTGTCATGAAACTTTGTTCATACAAACAGAATATTTTGAATTGCTTGCACGCATACACAATTTTACTCCAGATAAATAGTCCCCAAGATTATGGCTTGGAGTAGGCTTGATTGAACTTGGGAAACCATTTTAGAATAATCTGTGCTTTCTTTCCATTTCAATGAGCTCCTCTTCTACTTTTAGACTAAATTATCATTTTTCTGTCTACATCTGCGTATTTTGATTCGAGTTGAAGCTGACAAGCCAATTATAATGTGCACTTTCTACCTTTTAAAAGCTATCTCTTTTCAAAACTTTATACTCGAGCTCATTACTAGAATATCTTCATTAATATATTCATTTTCTGACATTTGAAGCAGATATCCTTTTTTTTTTCTTTTCTCTTTTTTTCGAGGGACAGCGTGCGTTATACCCCTCAAGAATAACACGCTAAAAAAGTGACTATTATCTCGGCCGAAAAATCGGGCTAACAAATTTACGACGACCACAAGCGCTAACGATAATTTCGTTATGAGACTGGCTCTAAGAAGTGGTTCAAAGTAACTTTTGTTGAGCAATATAGAAATCGTTCGCTCATTGGTTTACTATATACTGGAGGAAACCTGAATGTTTCCGTTCAAACACCGTCCTTCAAGCGTAGGGGTCGTCCTATCCACCATTGACGACCTAAGGACATGGCCCTTAATAGTTTCTTAAACCTCCCAAAAAATCACCACAGTGGTAACGTAGTTGTTCAATGAAATCCGCCAGGAAAATCGCACGATTCTTTGTGAAGGCGGTTCGATACACTCATTACAATCGCGAAAATTCGATAGTTACCTATGCAGGAAAATCAATGTTGGTTATATTTATCCAAACCGCAACGATATATAGATCAGTAAAAAAAATCTTCTCAAAAAATTGTACTCTTGAATACTGAATAATAACCATCATAAATGATAGATCAAATGTGGTAATTGGAATTAGTGGAAACTGATTAACATCTACAGTATAACTCCTGAATCATGTTGATGACCAAAGTTGAGGCATCTAATTTTCACCGACTCACTGAATTTTCCGATAACCTAACTATTTCAAATGGTTAAGAAACTGAAAAACGTGAAGAAAAGGCACTGCTTTGTGCTCGATAGATGTGCGTGTTTGTTAAACGCTTTTTTGTCTCTTGACATGCTTAGAATTCACTTTTTATATGAGGGATAAACTCCAGGCTCTTAAGTATTCTAAAACACATTCGCGGAATTAACAACGTTAGCGATTGTTTTGCGGAGATCATTTTGTTCTATTGAGCGAAATCGCGCTTGTTCAGCAGTTCCACGGAAAGAAAACTGTCCGCGAGATCAAAATTAAAATTTGGCACTTGAACTTCATCTTGCTAGAATGGGAAAACTTAAACATTGTTCTGAATATCCGCCAATTCTACCAATTTCCATGTTCCTCTATGATGTTCAATACGATGTGGCTACGTAGTTAGTGATGCAGTTCTATGAAGAACAATATGCTAATTTGACTCCCTATATAACGTTCTTCGCCAAACCACGTAAGGACCCTTCAGTTCAGCCATCTCCAAGACTTCACGAAATGTCACTGAAAAGAGAAATGAGAAGGTAATCATGGCTTTCGTGAGAAAGGCGGAAACAGCCCGCGAAATATTAAAAAAATCTTTGCGGATGACGAGTGGGAGGAAACGAATCGGACACGAAAAGTGCCGAAATCCGCACAGTAGGTATGACGACAAGTCTTGTTTTAGGGCAGCAAGAAATTTCTCCGGCTTTTTCTTGTTGTTGATTACTTTTTATTTCTTCAATTTCTGTTTTTACAACCGTTTAAAGCAGCTTCTTGTGGTTATTTTGATATTTAACACTTATACATTTGTTCTGAGATGGAATTGTCCCGAGAGCAAAAACAATTGTTGTTGCTAGTATCGTTGGGATTCAAAAGCTGCTTTGGCGCGCGACAATATTCACGTAGCATCAACAATCGTTTTTGCTCTCGGAGCAATTCCAATTCATAACAAATACATTGATGCAGTGTATCGGAATGATCGCAACAAGCTGTTCTAAACGTTATTATAAACGAAAACTTAGATGCACGAAAAATAATCAACAAAAACGAGAAAGTCCGGAGAATTTCTTGTCACCCATTAACAAGTTGTGTTAAAAGTTCGTGCCGTTTTGGATTTTAATGTGATTTTTGCTATGAAATTGCATGATATTAATATCCTTCAATTGCGCATTTTCTTACAAAAAACTTGGTAAACAACTTGCCTGAATTTACTGTGAAATGGAGTTGCTGGGAACAAATCCACATTTTGCACGAATTCAATGAATTTTTGCACGAATATCAAGCGTATTTCTTCCCAGAGAGTTCCATCTCAAAGCAAGTTTTGGCAAGTTGTATACCAAAATGTTCGCAAAAAAAATGCGCAATTGAACGATGTCAAAATCGTGCAATTATAAAAAAATCTTTTTAAAAAACCAAAACGACGCGAACTTCTTACACAGCCTACTAAATAACGGAGAAATCACCTACTTACTCAGATACTTGAATGCTCTGTCCCCACTAGTTATGCGGGCTCCAGCACATATTTCAAATGATATATTGCTGGTCGTGCTTATGGTATTCCTTTGGTTTCCTGAAGTAAACTTGCAAGGGCGTTTTCTGGTCTTCAGATCTCGTTTCCAAGGAATGGATTTTGTCGATAGAGCCCTGGCCGGGCTCCTACCTGTTGATTCGGAGATAATGTTGGGCCGAAACAAAAGCAAAAGTAGGAAAGAAAATCAACCGACCGCTCACGGACGATGTGAAGGCCGAAATCGCGTAGCCGACAATCATAGATCGAGCAGGAGCTCGAGCAGAAGAAGATTGCGATCGCGCCGCGACCGCAAAGTTCTCATTTCCAGGAAGCGACGCACTCTTCCACCGCGCAACGCTCGGGGCCAATTTGTGAAAGTATCACCTGCTGGGAACTAACATAGTGTACTAACACTATACATACTTGCACGTCTACTTATAAAATTTTATTTATGGAAAAACGGAGACTTCATTTGAGATTACTACTTTTGAGTCCGATTTATTGATTTGACACGAGTATGGCAAAAAAGACTTAGTTAGCGGCTGGTGAATCGGCGCTTTCGCCGCCCTCAAAGCCGCCGCGTTTATGGTCTCCTACACCTAATCGGTATCGCGATGTGGATGTTCCTTGTCGCCATCAAGTCAGTCTTAGTGACGGATCGTAGATCGTATCTTCTGGGATTTTTTTAGACACTTTGTTAGCCTGTCTTCTCAGTGCTTTTTTCATTGTGCGGATCCTAAAACTTCTAGCATTCAGTTCATTTTTCGTCGTCTTTCTGAACGTTGCAGAATACTGATTGAGCACATCTGCTTACAATCTCG